GCGAGGCACGGAGCTCGGACGAGCCGCAGTCCGCTCGCAGGGGGCCTAGCAGGGGCGTAGGCTGCGTGGCAGGGGCCTGGGGTGGCGACTTTGGTTTGGGAGCCTCAGGTCTGTAGAGAAGGGACAGGTGTGGCTGCGGGGGGCTGGGGGCCGCTTCCCTGGGTGTCGTGACGGGGCACCCCGACTCGGCCGGGAGAAGGGGGGCAGGCAGGCGGGCGAGGAAGGAGCACAGCGGAAGGTGGGTAGACCAGAAACCCAGGCGGAGCAGGCGGGGAAGCGTCCAGTGCGGCCGCTGCAGCATGTCCCCGCCGGACCTCTTCAGTGCGTTGTCCACCCCAGAGTGTCCAACCATCCCTGCTGGCCGAGCGCTCTCCCCCGCCCCAAGCAGGCGAGACGTCTGCGACCCGAGACTGTGACGTCCCGTCCACCCCGTCCACTGCAACTTTCCTAGGAGCATCTCCGCGCCGGGTGGCCGCATCTCACGCACGTAGGTCAGTGCCGGCGTACAGGTGCCTCCCTGTGTTCTGGGGCTGGACGCCGGCCCGCCGCTCTGCCCCGGAGCCGAGGCCCGCGTGGCGGTCACCTCGTGGCCGGTTTGACGGGTGGCTCACCAGTCGTTTGCAGGGGGCCGAGGTCCGGCTGTGCCCTGCCCTCCCTGCGGCGTGTGTGGTGTTCCACTGCGCCCCTCTCCCCGGCCGCTCCTCTCGTGACCTGCCGTGTAATGCAGCATGCCCTCGTGCCCAGCAGCAACAAGCACGCGTGGTATAAACGGTGCGTCAGAGGAGAGATACCACCGCCTGGTCCCGATGCGCCGTAAGGACCAAAGCAGTTTTGTGGGAAGATAATTCCGCTCAGCTCTCTCTACCAGCTGGATGGACGTGGGACGCCTCGTGTAAGTGGACTTCAATTGTGTCAGCTGAGAAGATGGAAATCCCAGCCCAGATACATTAAAAAACCAATCTACTATCAAGTTTGTAGTGTGTGAAATTGTTATGGCCCCTGAGGGGCTGTGCCGATAAGCAGTAAAATAAATACTAAATTATTTTCTCCAAGAGCGTTGAGAACTGCCGAACAAATACAAGTGTCAAAGCAATGTCACAGCGTGTCCCCCGCTGCCGTGCGAGGGGTCATCCTGCCTGAAGAGCCCGTTCGCTCACGCGCGGGACTGTGGGGGCGGGAGGGGCAGGCGGGACCGGCTGGGGGATGGGGGGCAGGGGAGGCAGAGAGGCGGCACCGTGCTCGGGGGTGGGGGAGGGGGTGTTTGCAGAGACAGACGGATGGATGATACACAGACAGACAGACACAGACAGAAAAAGGCATGACAAGGAAATGCGGAACTGGGTTACCCCTGGAATAGAAGTGATCGAGGAAGGGGAGTAAAACGTGCTCATTTACACGTCCGTGCCTCTGGGAGGGAACGGAGGTACGGCCTTGTCCTCTCGTGGGCGTGCGCAGTGTTCACAGACTGGGAGGAGACGGCTCAGCTCTCGGCCGCGTGGAAGAACGTGGTGCTGACGGCCCACACGACCAGAGTGCTGGGCCCGTGCGCATTCACTTTTGGGGCACAGCCGCCTGTATTTACAGTCTCGTGACAGTTCACATTTATGGCGTGCTGTCCTGTTCGAGGAGCCCTCCGCGCTGCTGCACACATCTTATCGCCTGCTCCCTGCTGCAGTGCTGCGGTCTACATGGCACCGGTGTCTCCCTTCTACGTGACAGGAGATTGAACTCTGGGGCGGGTCCGGGGTGTGCGCCAGACAAACGGCCAGCGCGCGCCCGAGCTGGGGAGCGGGCTGCACCTGGCGCTGATTCAGGAGTCACGCACGTGCTTAGATGGAACGGGCCCCTCCCCCCAGCAGACAGGCTGAGCAATGCACGAGGGACGAAGAGAAGCACTGGGCACTCTGAGGAACGGTTTGAGGCGGAGAGACGCCGAAGCCCCTCCCGGTGGGGACCCCAAGGTGGCATCCCGCGGATCACGCCGTCCGTCGCCTGGAGGACAGCCAGGCGCCTGGGGGCAGGCGGGGTCGCCCGCGGCTCCCCAGATCTGGCCGCCCCGCCCCTCTGTCCCCTTCACAGGCCGACCCTGTCCTCCCCCGGAACCAGCCAGCTCGGGTGTCGCTGCATCTCAGGAGGAAGGGGTTCCTGCCAACGTGTGAGTGAGGACCTCCCAAGGGACCCGCCGTTCGGGGGCCGGCGCCCACGTGGGGCGTGTGGGATCTGCGCGGCTTGGCCGATGGCAGGCGAGGGATCTCCTCTCCCTCCGGTCCGGCCGTCCTCGGTCCTCGGAGGCCAACGGCAAGGGTGGCGCCTCTCGGCGGGCGCTGGCTCGCTCCTTCTGAGGTTCGGGAGCCCCGGGGGCCACTCTCTGTCGGCGTCCCCCACGGAGTCGTGGGAGAGGGATGGCGCCGTGGCCCCGAGAGCAGGGCCCGTGGCGGGGGGCACCCCGGCCTTGGTTCCACTGTCAGGTTCCCCTGACGCGCCCGCGGCTGTGGTCTCTAGAAGCTTCTCCAAGGCAGGGTCTCGGTGGGGACCGGCTCTTTGGAGGAGGCTCTGCCGGCTTTCTGCCTCGTTACCTTGACCCAACGTCAGCAGCACGAGGGGATACGGTAAAAGCTCACAAGTGAACCTGGAAAGACAACAGTTCCTTTTCTCCGTATTTAATAAACTAACCATCATTTTGCAGATGCTTGACATCGCGGTGCCCCGAGCGAGTCTCAGTGGCGCAGGCCAGGCCTGCCCCTCCCTCCTCCGCCTGGATCAAAGCACCCCAACACCGGGCACCCACGAACGGCGAGGGTGTGACCCGCACCCCGAGTCCAGGGGAAACCCCCCCGAAGACGGGTGTCTGGGGCACGCGGAGAACTGCTCCACCGATCCCTGACCTTTATTGTCAGAAAGTGCAAAGGGGCAGAACCAGGAAACGTCTACTCTGTCATTTTACACGCACGCCACGTTATCGAAGTAGGTCTGCGCTTTGACGAAAGAGTGGGGCTGGTTCCCTGTACGAGCGGTGTGACAGGGCAGTGACCGGGGTGAGGTGGGCGCCGGGGAGGCAGGGGAGGTCAGAAGTCCGGGAGACAGAGGAAGGAAGCAGAAGCAAGTCAAGATCGGCGGGAAAACAGCTGGAAATTCGCGGTGAGGAGACAGACACTAAGGACACATTACAGGGAGACAGGGTGCAAAGGGCACTCACGCGTCCAGTCTGGTTCCTGAAACCCGATCTTCACGTGACCCTTCGGGGAGTCTGAACTTGAACTCTCCAAACCCGGCACTTCCTCTCCCGACCTCGCCGCCCCGCCCGCGGTGCTGTCTGGCCCCGCCCCTCCCGGCGGCGTCAGACGGAGAAATTCCCGGTCGCTCCAGAGCGAGACCCTCTCTGTGCCCGGAGACCCGTCCTTCCACCCTGGGGTGGTCGTCGGAGAGAAGCACTGCGCGTGCAATCCCCCCCCCCGCGCCCAGCCGTCGCTCGGGCTCCCCGGCCCTCTCCGCCTGGCCGATACAGACGCTACCTGCTCCGGTGCACCCGCGTCAGAGAGCGCTCCGCACTCAGTGACTCGCTTTTTTAACAGCTGCTGCTCCTCGGGTGTGAGCGGCAGACACCTTGTTCCGCTGGAATCGTCCTAATTAGTTCAAACCAAGAGACGATTTTACGGGCCTGTGCAAGTGACGCGCGTCAAGGACCCGAGAAACTGGCTCGAGGGACGGTGAGGACCGGGGTTCCAGGCCCCCCAACCCCCGGTCTCCCGCCTCACTTCCCGCCCCTGAGTCCGGGTTGGTTGGTGGGCACGGAGCCCGGGACACCCCCCTTCACCACGCTGAGGCCTTGATCTCCTTGAGGGCGCGAGGGAAGAGGCCCATTTTCTCGGATTCCAGAGGCTGAGCCAGAGGCTGAGGAAGGAGCTGGGGGGGTGGGGGGGGCACAGCGGCCAGCGCTCGGATCCCACGTCTGGAGTGGGTGGTCGTCGGTGACGGCCGCTCTCCCGCCCACGGACAGTTGTCGGTGAACCGGGCGTGGAGGAGTTGTAACTGGGTGCCCACCCTGCGTTTGGCCGCGGAGACACATGACCGACGGAAATAGAAAACACACACAGACCGTGTCCTGTCCCGGACCTGAGTTTCACCCCACAAGGATCTGGTTCCGTCAGACCGTCCCCGTGGGGCCGGGGCCCCAAGGCCCTCACCCAGGCGGGTGACGAGGTTTAGAGCATCACACTCCCCCGACTGAGCCCCCCGTTCCGCGGGCAAGTCCCCCCCGAGGGGCGCGGTCTGCAGCCCCCACTACCTGGGGGAGTTCAGTGAGCACCACCCAGGCTATAACCGTTCTGTGAGTCGGTAATTCACACGGACGTGCTTTCCACCACAGACAACATCTCCCTCCCTGTAACTCCCGCGTGGTTCTCACCGTTAGAACTCCGTGTCTGGCTCTGTCTCCCTCGTTCTCTCTCTCTCCCTCTCTCTCTCTCTCTCTCTCACACACACACACACACACACACACACAGGCACACACAGGCGCACACACACACACACACACACACGCACACACACTCATTCACACTGGAAGACCCACTGCCCGCACTCTCAGAGAGAACCATAACTCCTTCCAACTCCTGGCATTCCACGTTTTCTCTCTTTTCCTGCCATTATTTTAGATTCATTCAAGTGTTTTACGTGACATTTTGTAAAGATCTCATCGCCTCGCTGGCGTACTTGGGGTGAGCTCTAACGCCTGTTGGTCTGAGTATGCACACTCAGAACCGAAGGTGACTGCCCGTGGAAGGGGTCCTCGCGGCAAACACGGCTGGCCTGCGGCCCCCACGGTGGGCCGACCCTCGGGCGTCGGATCCTCCCGGCGGCGGGTGACCGGGGGTGTCCTCGAGGCCAGGCCCCCCGCCGTTTCCCAGGGAAATGGGGCGCTCACTCGGAAGGTCTGGGGCCCAGAGACAGGTCACCGAGCTTTGAGAGCCAGCAAACACCGATGAGAACACATCAGATGCAGGAGTGAGTTTATTGGGTCAAACACGTGGCGCGAGGAGAGTTTATGTCGATCTGCAGCAGTTGTTTCAGAATTACAGACGTTGGACTCGGTGTTTCGATCACTCGTGGACTTCACTGTTGGAAAGACCCGTCTGTCAGCCAGGGTGAACGCCAGCGAGGGGGAGAGCCGGTGGGGAGAGCGGCCGGGTGCCCCCCATCCCCCGGGAGAGGCCGCAGGAGCAGCTCCAAGCAGAGGAGGGGGCGCTGTGGTCGGACGGTCAGGAAGCCGGTCTAACAGGCAGACGACCCGCAGGACGGTCGGCCGCCGGAGGACTGGCAGCTCCTGGGGGTCCCGCAGGTCGGGCGGCGGGATCCGGATCCAGGGTCCGGGGAAGGGACCCCACAGGCACCACAACCCTGGGGTCTGAGGCCACCAGACCCAGAGCCCTGGGAGCAGCTGCTGCTGGACCCCTGGCCCTGAGCCCCAGTGGACGGGACCTGGCAGGGGCTGCTGGGCACGGGGACCCTCGGGCTGCAGCAGGACGGCCGGCAGCTGCTGGGCGCCCAGCAGATGACCTGGTAGCTGCTCTGGGGAGAGGGGCCCTGCAGGCAGGGGCAGGGGTCCCTGCTGGGGGCCGGGGTGCCGGGGTTGGAGGAGCTGCAGGAGGACCCGCAGGAGGAGCCGCAGGAGGAGCTGGGGCAGCGCTGGGAGCTGCCCAGGGAGCGGGAGGAGGAGTTTCCAGAGCGGCAGCTGGTGGACATGCTGGCGGAGGTCGAGGTCAGCCGAGTGACAGCGAGCGGAGTCCGAGTTCAATGCCACGGTCTGGGCTGCACGTTATATACCCGCACGGACCTGGGTGTGTCCCTGGCCGGCGCTTCCTGCTCGCCGCTGGACGGGGGGAGGGCCCCGTAGGTCACTGCCGAGGTCGCGTTCATTGCATCGTCACGTGGTTGGTTGGACGTGAATCACTCGGATGCGCTTGGGAAGGAGCCGCTCCGTTTCCTCCCGGGAATGTCCCGCGTCCCGCCCTTGGAGGCCACGTGGGCACACGCGCCCCCCACCCCCCCGTTTGTCTGCGGGCCCGTGGGCCGTCCTCTCGCCACACGCAGTCGCGTCAGCCTCCCTGCCTCCCGCCAGGGCATCAGGCGCGCGGTGGCCGCCCTCAGACAGTTCCCCCGGGAAACGGCGGGGGGCCTGGCCTCGGGGACACCCCTGGTCACCCGCTGCCTGACCTGTGACGTGTCTTCTTCACGGCGTGCGACCGTGGCTCTCCCCCAGCACCACACGCAGGAGCCCCAGCAACCAGGGCCGCCTTCCGCCCGCCCTCTGGCTGACCTGACCCACGGGATCCTGACGGTCGCCGGCGGAGCGTAACCGACCGTGGGCCCCTCGGCCTGGCACACGGCCGCCTTCCCCGTGACACACTCGACTCCCCGACCTCCGGAGCCGGAGGTCGGCGTTAAGGGGCCCAGACCCCGTCCTCGGTGTTCCCGCCGACGGACTTCAAGGGCGGGGGGCCAGCAGGGTTCCCCGAGGCCCCGTCAGTGAGGCTTCGGATGGAAGGGTTCGCTGGAGCGGCGTCCCCTGTGCTTTCCGACAGGCCTGTCTCACCGGAGACGTGCGCCTCTGCCTGCGGTGTCGGCGGCTCACGGTGTCTGCTGCGTTAGGTCCCCGACGGAAGGGCACACGCGCTCACAGCTGCGATCACTCGCGTTTCAGGGGTGGGCACCGTTCTCCGCAGCGATGAACCTGAAGCATGAGAGCCCCGCGGGGCTCCAACACCCTCTGGTCCGTCCGCGCTGGAGAAACCGTCTCAGAAACGTCCAGTAAATTCCTCCTGATGGCTCGGTGAGACAGGGGCAAAATTAAGACCTGAACCACACACAGGCTCCTTATGCACAGTCAAGACTCCAACACTCTGCGAAGACAAAAGCAAATTTGACTTGACTTTGCGTCAGCCCGAATCTATTAGGCGTGTTTATATAAGGCAGGAGAGCCTTATTTACCCTTCTTAGGAGCATTTGCACCGAGGAGTGTATTCTCGAGCGGCGCTGCACACATCACTGAACTGTATACCTGTGGCGTATGTTTTACTTTCTAGCCCAAGAGCCAGAAGCCAGTTCTTGGATTCATGGGGGGAAAGCGCAGCAGGAGGAGAACGGGAGCGTCTGGGGTGGGCTCCTCCGCCTCCTGTTGAACCCGGCGCTGCGCAGGGCCTCACCGAGGGGCGTGAACTCCGGGCCCTCCGTGCGGAGGGCGGTCCTTCTCCGACCGGCGGCCAACGGCCCTGCTGCGGGCGCACACCGGCCAGGCTGCCTGCCGCTCTCCCCCACGCCCAGTGCGGCTCACCCCCCACCGCCGCCCCGGCGCCCCTCCCACGGCCGCTCCGACTCCCGGAGGGAATGCGGGGCGCCCCAGGGACCACGCCCAGGACACGCCCCCTGGGCTCCCCGCGTTTGACTGCATTTCCCCAGGGGACAGTTCTCTCGTTGTCTCTCATCCTGCTCAAGTGGATTCTACTGAAAAAAAATTTTAAAAAGGCTTTTTAAGATCCAGAAGTTCTTGCTTTTCGAGGCCAGCTCCCACCTCTGGGAGTGAACCTGAAAATAACTGGGGACTAAGTCAATTCTAATTAACCCCCCACCCACTCCTAATTAGGTCAAGGCTTCATTCATCAGAGCCTCCGGTGCGCTCCGTGCAGATGCTGATGAAGGACAGGCGGGTGCTCCTGACCGTGTCCCGCGGGGAGGAACAAGGAGGGGGGGTGGGACCTCGAGCAGCGCCCAGCGGGCCCTGGGTGGCCTGTCCGGGACGGGGCGAGGTTCTCCCGCGCTCTCCTGGGGCGCGGCTGAGCGTCTGAGGACAGAGTCACCGCGTGGTGTGTCCGAGGAAAAGGGCGGCGATGGGAAACGTCTTTTTTCCTCTTATGAGTGGGGGCACACCAGCACTGCCGGGAAGAAGACCAACCCGGGGGCGCCCCCAGGCTGGCCTGGGTGCCCCAGTGGCGGCGGTGGCTGCTGCTCCAAGCCCCCCGCGAACCGAGCCCGTGTCTGAGCGCACGCTGGCTCTCTGAGCGCGGAGTCCCCGCGGGTGTGGGAACACCCTCCGCCGGGCGGACGTGCGGCCCTGGGAGAAAGCGTGGACACCGTGCGATCCCGTCCATCGCCCTGTCCTCCCGTTCGCTGGCCCCCGGGTTCCTGGAACCCACCCTCTCTGGGCCTGCAGGGCCCCCTCTGCCTCTCCCCCGGGTGCGACTGTCCACACCCTCTGGCCCAGAAGGGGACCCGCCCGTTCACCCCGGTTACTGCTGGGTCTGGGCCCGGGACCCGGTTCTGAGAGCCTCTGGCCCTCTCCAGGCACCGGGCACGGGGCTGGGCCTCCGTTCCCTGGGGTCACCCGGCGGCAGACTGGCCACGTGTGTCTCCGGGACGGACCCTCCGCACGGTTCCGTGGAGCGGTCAGTGCCCAGGTCTCCGAAGCCCTCTGCTTCCATGCAGACCTCCGTGATCTCCTCAGACTGTTGTTTTGCCAACCCACTGCAGCCATGGAAAATACGTGAAGGAAAGGCAAACTCCAGAGCAGTTTTCTGGATCACCTCCACTCGCAACTGTTGCCGTTCTATCATATTTCTCTCTCTCTCTCCCTCTCTCTCTCTCCCTCTCTCTCTCTGTCTCAAAACACGACAGAGAGGAGTCCTTCCTGGGCCACCCCCGGCCTGAGTCTCCCTCCTGTCTTTTCAAGGTCGTCCCAGGAACACGTCCATTGGGTTTCAGGAGCGTTCCAGGCGGTTTTCCTCACACACATTGTAAGTTTGCACAGTTGGTGGTTCTAGCGTTATTTTCAGTTACAAGAACACAATTGCATTGTGCATGTACTTGTAGTTCTATATTAGAGCTGTTTTCAGTGCACCCATGCTGACGCCGACGTGCGTGTGCTTTGCCACCACATCGGGGGGGGGAGGGGTTGCGTGTGCACGCACCGTTCCGGGCCCGTCGTGACTGATGTCAGCGCATCGGCCTTCACAGAGACCCTGCTCAGCACACACTTGGTCCCATCTTCTACGTGTGGCCGAGCTGAGACGCAAGCAGGGCCCACCCCCCCCCACCCCCCGCCCCCGCTGAGGGCTCCTGCAGTCACGGTGAGGACGGGTTTGCCCCGCTGCTGCCAGAGTCCGCACAGCCGGCCGCCTGGCTGGGGCACGAGGCCCCGGCTGCTCCCGCGGCGGCTTCGCCGAGCTCGGCCGCGTAAGGGCTGCACATTACTCGTCGTCTTCCTCCCGCTTTGTCGTGGCTCAGCACCACACGTCACGGACGAAGGACGTATTTGCACTTGAAACCTTGCACCGTGCCGAGGGCTCCTGCCAAGCGTGCATTCGGTGGGAGGGGGTTGCCGGGCCCGAGGCCCTCGGGGCTGCTCAGCCGCCAGGCTCCCCGCCCTCGGGCTCGGGGGCGGGCGGGTCCCGGCTGCCGCACCGATGGGCTGGGCCGCCCAGAGGCCTCGGTTCTCTTCGCTGTGACTTCCTTCTGCCGAGAGCTTTCTAGTCGCTTCTTCTGTTAGAGCTACCTTCAGGGTGCTCTTCGTGCATCCTTTACTTTACGTGTCGGCCTTCTCCTGCAAATACGCTTCTCCGGTCAGGCGTTTGACTGTTGTTATTATTATTATTATTACTATTATTATTACTATTATTACTACTGCTACTATTTTGGTCGGTTCTACCGAGGTGCAGCACGCACACAGTGAAGCCCACCCTCGAGATGTGCGGTTCCGCGAGTTTGACAAACGCAGACAGTCGTGTGACCCCCGACACGGCTGAGAAACAAAGCGTTTCCATCATCCCCCAGTTCCCTCGGGCCCCCTCCTGTCAAACCCCTCCCAGCGCGAATGTGAGTTCCTGTCCCGATCACCTTCTGCTTCCTGAGCGCACTGTGGCAGGAGCTGTGTCTCATGCAGGCTTCCGTGTCCAGGCTCCTTCCCAGAGCACGGTGCTCCTGAGGTCCCTCCGTGTACCTGTGCCTTTCAGTGGCGCTGCGGCCACTGTCACTGCCGACCGGTGTTCCTCCGCGAGTACGTGGCACAGGGTGGTCATTCACGGGCCGGGCACGGGACCCCCGGGCGCCTTCCCGTCTGGGTGTCGTGGGCAGAGCTGCCCCACGGCCAGGTGTGGGCCTGGCTGCAGACCCGGCCCCTCGTCCTCCCTGGGTAAGCCGGGGGTGGCGCTGCCGGTGACTGCAGGTGCGGCTTCGTGCGGAAGTGCCGAGCGGTGTCCCGCGGTGGCTGTGGCTCGCTTCCCGCAGCGACGCGCAGCGGCTCCGCGTCCTCGTCAGCACCACGCTCGTTATCAGCGGCATCGTCGTTGCTGTTACTACTCGCCTACGCTGGCAATGCACGGAGCCGTGTCCCGTGTGATTTCAGTTTCGTTTGCCTCACGATTCACAGGATGAGCTGTCCTTTCATGAGCCCCTCGCCTCCCAGGTCTCTGCTTCCGTGGGGCCTGTTCAAATCTCTGGGGTCGTGTCTCCCTTATCATTGAGTTGTGAGAGTCCCACATGGGTCCTAGGTCCAAGGTCTTCGTCCACTCTGTGCTTTTCAGATTTTCTCTCCAAGCCTGCGGCTCGGGCTTGTCCTTTCATTTTCTTACCAACGGGTTTTAAGAGCGGATGCTTTCAAGTTTCAATTAAGTCTAATTTACCAAAAAATATGTTGCCACGGTTGACCCACAGATAATGGTGGGGTTAGGGGTGCCCACGGCCCACAAAGTCCAAAATCCACGCGTAACTCAAGTCAGCCCTCCACAAACAC